CCTAACCTCTCTCTCCGAGATGCTGCAAATAAGCTGGGTGTATCGTCTACAACCGAGCATCGAGCCAAAAAACGAGCCGGACTATCGACTTACAAGAAGGTAGTGACTCCAAATCGCGATGATAAACAAAATACGACGGCCAAAGCGCGATCCCGGAGGCTGTACACGACGATGCTGACGAAGTTTGACTGCGTGGTAATGGACGACGAAACCTACGTCAAAGCCGACTACAAGCAGCTTCCGGGACAGGAGTTTTATACGGCAAAAGGAAGGGGAAAGGTAGCAGATGTTTTCAAGCACATGAAACTGTCAAAGTTCGCAAAGAAATATCTGGTTTGGCAAGCCATCTGTACCTGTGGCTTGAAAAGCAGCATTTTCATAGCTTCCGGGACTGTCAACCAAGAAATTTACGTGAAAGAGTGTTTGAATAAACGTCTGCTGCCTTTCCTGAAGAAACACGGTTGTTCCGTACTGTTTTGGCCGGATTTGGCATCTTGCCATTACGGTAAAAAGGCCATGGAGTGGTACGCCGCCAACAACGTGCAGGTGGTTCCCAAGGACAAGAACCCTCCCAACACGCCAGAGCTCCGCCCAATTGAGAAATACTGGGCTATTGTCAAGCGGAACCCAAAGGAGACCAAAAAAACTGCTAAGGGCAAGCAGCAGTTCAAGGCAAACTGGCTTTCTGCGGCGAAGAAGGTGGACAAGGTGGCTGTACAAAATCTGATGGCAGGGGTCAAGCGTAAGGCCCGGCAATTCGGATTTGGAAAAGCGGAAGCCTAACTGAATATTTTTCCTGAATTTTATACTAATTGAACTTGAAAAAGAAATTTAATTTGATTTTTTAAATAAACGATTTCACCGATTTACACGCGTTTTCTCTTGACCAAATTTTGACCGTATCACCCTTTAGGTCAACGACAGGGACACGTGCTGTCCGCACAGCCGTCGTGGGAAGGAGTCATCGAACCAGTGCGTGAAGGAGGCCACAGAAGGCGTCAACGGCGTTGGCCTAGTAGCGGCGATGGTAACCAGCATTTCCACAACTCGTGCTTACTCCTGTGTCTTCGTGTCTTGTATGTTTACGGATGAGGCTTGGCAGGTCAAGTTAGTAGGGTCTTGGAAAATTTTGGCTCTTTATTCATTATTTTGGTAGGAAAACGCAATAGTAACTTGCTATATGAGTGTAGTGGTCTTGACAGATAACGAACGTACGTGAGTGAGAAGAAGGCTGGGGACGGAGTGACGAGCGGAAGATTCCGACGTTAGAAAACCGGAATACAGATCGGTACACGAGTGGACAACTGTTGGGCACCTGCATGGGACAGTTAGAGTTGATCGAAAACGAGGAACTGAAGGCCAAGTGAGCCAACATCCGGAGGTTCATAGTGACACAGAGTGACAACGCCAGCAAGTGGAAACTTGGTTTCTTATTATCCAGATCAAGGGCATGTTGCTGCATTTGGGATAACAATTCGATGTTCTTTTTTGCATTTGCACTTAAATAAAACTCGAATCTATAAATGCAGCTTTTTTCGAAGCCACATTTTGCCAGATATTCCAACTTTTTTGATTTCTTACGCGCATTTGAGTAGCGATTTTTTTCGGTAATTTTGCGAATGTTAGATTTTAGATATTTTAAAACACTAATTATTTATTTTCTTCGATGTTTCAGTGCTGACATTTGTCATCGCCTGAATCTGTCATGGAACATCGCCTTCATCTCTGGTTGCAGGGCTGCCAACAGCAAAAAAAAAAAAAATATTTTGAGCTGTTAATTTTCGAAAATAAAGCTGAAATATTGCTTTATAACTTTGCGTTCCATACTGAAAACTCGAAGTGATTAAATGCAATCTAATGTTCTAAAAAAATAACAAAAAATACCTTTTTACAGCCCTCAGCAGGACACTTTTATCAACAATCAATACGAAACTAACGATTTTAAATTGGCCCACTAATTGACTAGCCTATTGGTCCCAAGTAAATCGATTAACGTATCCCATTCTAGTACTACACAATGTTTGTTTTGATTTGCCATTAAAGTTTGACAGATAAAACGAGAGGTTCGTGGATTTTCCTATGTTTCGAGGGGTGCATCGATTAGCTTGGGACTGAAGTACCAGAGCTGAGCCAAAAAGTTGAGTACTTTTCCTCGGGACTTACTACGCTCAGAGTTACCTATATGCTATTATTAAGCGTATAAGACGATAATAACAGCTGAACATGTTTTTGGAGCCGAGTTATTAACGAAAGAGAGAGTCGATGAAGAGAATCGATCAATTTAGGTTGGTGTATGTGAAAGGTAACGCGAGAAGTGTCCAGGAAATTCTCTTTAATAAAATTATGGTGGTCCTGAAAAGGACCGTTTTGTAGTGATGGCTGAGTAATGGTGAGCTATTTTGTTGTTGTTTGGAACGGTAACGCGCTAGATGGCCCACAGCGGCTCACGACGAGCAACTGAAATCTGATCAGTAGCGGTGCAACTTTTTCCACCTTCTTCGGCGAATGGACCACTCAGTGGGCTGCAGCTCAAACTTGCGGGCAGCCTTTCGTCGTGTACTACAACCACACGCCGAAAGCACTGCTGCTGCTGATGATGATGACCACTGTACACCACCACTCACCACACGCGGTATTGCATAAACAAAGTTCGGTGAGACCGGAGTGAATTCGATTTTTAAATCTGTGTTAGGGAAGGCGCGTTGCGCAGTAAATCGGTGATAATTTTCATTATTATATCAACAGCTGCATATTCGTGCAATTTTCAATAGTGACCTTTTGAAAATTGATAAAGTGTTCATTTTAGCAGAATCGTAGATGACATTCAAATCGATTGGCTTGTTTAGAATTAATATCCATCCGCTATTGACAGAGTTGTAAATGGTCAAAACCTGACCACTTTTCGTAACGCGGTCGATTTCGGTTTTTTGAAATTGCACCCCCAATATGTTGCCGAAAGACGCAGAAGTTGCACCGCTACTGATCGGATTTCAGTTGCTCGTCGTGTGCCACTGTGGACCATCTAAGAAAAGCACGTCACCGTTGAAGGTAATCGCATTAAGCAGCAATTTGAGGCACATTTTGTGAGATTGCTTTGATGGCTTCGAAGAATTGATCGAACAGGAGCAATGCGATGCATCAACATCGGCCTCAGGAACAAAACGTGGAAGACCTTCAAAACCTTTCACGGATTTGAGCGAAAGAGGAAAACGTCGCATAATTGATAATGAAGCAGTTGATCCTTAAGTCGATACGCTCCAAAAAAAGCATTGCTATTAGCAAGAAGGACCGCTTATAACCGAAAGGATCTGAACCTAGTTAAAGGTTTTGGCAAGGGTTTTGGGCATATTTTGAAAAACCAAAATAGTTCTAAAACAATGCTGGCTCAATTAACTGATCAACGGGGAATAATGTCAGCTGAAGAAGATTTTAGTCTACTTATCGAAGGTGGATTGAGTAGATTTCAATATGAACTTATGCATAGAGAAGTGCCTTCAAGATTTCCACCTTACGATGTGATCGGGGCTGTGAAAAAAAATGTGTGCCCCTCCTAGTGAATTCATCGAAGAAAGCGCATCGAAAATAAGAGTGAAACTCCGGGCGCTAATGGAAAATACAGTGAAATGAATCGTTAAAATAATGAATGTAGATCTCAACGAGTAGGGGAAAAAGCTCTAATGTTGGTCTATGGATCTAAGATTGGACCCATCGCTAAAAACCTGTTATTTATCAATTTTATCTAGATGAACGCGTCATTGGAACGGTACTATTGGATATTTTTGGTCGCTATTGAAAATTTAGCCGATTGCTGAATTTATGTGTGTGTGTGTGTGTGTTCCGTAGATTTGTTTTTCTCTACGCTTTGCATCTCATTTCGTGATTCACCTTTGTCGTAATACTTCCTTCAAATAACACAAATTTTCATACATTTCCATGGTCATCTGGGAGGAGGTTCGTGTCTAGTGCTTTCCCCAGGAACCGTTCGTGGCCACCAGCTACCACCCGTCCAGTCTTGGGCGTATCCAGCGAGGCATAATTCAGATTGCTCGCAATCTCCGACACCGGCGAGAGACCAGCAGCTGAGCACTTTTGCAAGCGGAAAACTTGCTGATTCACGGCAACGTCGGCCACCTAATCACCACCAAAACTCGCGACGGATACATTATCAGCACATTCCCGGGCTAATTTACCAACCGGACCGGGTTCAAACTCGCCCACGAATCTCTCAATAGAACTACACGCCGAGGCAATGAAAACCGAGACCGAACAGAAAAACTGAAGCTGCGTCATAGATTTTCGAGGTTAGATTCAAAATTAACTGAGTCACTCAAGACAAACATAGGAAAACATGATATATCACTAAATGATAACTTTATGAACACTTGAAACGAAATTTCAGAACACAAATTAACAAATTTAAAGCAAACAATGTTTAATTCGTGCTGACGAAAAATACGTAGCAAAAGAAAAACACGTCAATTTTCAAGCGCTTACTGCGATCGTGTGTTAGTATAACATTTTGTACACCAATATTTATTTTTTTTTTTTTCCCTTGGTTTGTTTTTTCCGTCGATCTTGTTTTCCGTGCTGAGCACCAATGCTACCGACGTGCCAGGAAGGCAGCTCCCACACCTGGACCCTACCTATCGACCCATCAACTCATGAACCGGGGACCAACGGTTTTACTTCCCATCCGAAGGAAGGCGTGATCAGAGATGTTATGCCTCAGAACATCCCGGCGGCGCCGACTGGGATTGAACCCAGGCCTTCCGGGGTGAGAGGTAATCACGCTTACCACTACACCACCGGCGCCGTTAAATCAATATTTATTTGTTGATAAGAATATTACAAATCCTTATATACTTAGAACACGATTCACAAATCTTTATATACTTAGGTTTCATCATTGCGTTGCACTCTGCCACTCTTCCCCAACTCTTGCCGTTGTTCAGATTGATTGATTAGTTGTGATATTGAATTAGTGACAACCTCGACCATAATACGTATTCGACTTTATTTGCTAGGTTCCTCATATTCGACTTACAACAAAACCGCACTCAAGACAGCCACAATAGTAACCGCCATTACGGAGACGGCATCGAACCGCATAGCTGCCGATACGACGTTCTGCTCCAACCAACGTTCAATGAAAGCGTAGTTTTTATTCGTCCACTGAACGTTTTCCCCGGCAAGTTCCTTAGCTGTGGCTGATTCTCCAGCATTCAAGTATCCTGCAGAAGCAAGTTTCGCATTCATTGCTTCAAACTGAAATAAAAGTTCAAGTTGTTTCAAAACCATCCCTGCACTGAAAAAAAACACTTACTTCATCATACTGTTCCTTGTTGACGACCCGTCTGGCCATTCCGGTAACGGCCGAACCGATCGCCCGGCCTCCAAAGCTTCCTCCATTGTAGAGTCTGTCTATGGTATCTGCATTCTCATCCAAGAACTTCATTGCGACCTCCAATCCGACCTTTCCATTCGTATACACAGCGCTGAATACACGCGACCGTTCCTGGCCACGGTAGCTGGCTTCTCCTGTCTCGTCTATTGAAGTTGCTAGATACAGCTGTAACAATTCAGCATTTTGCGAACAGCCAAGGGCACTGATGAGTAACACCCGATCCGATGGATCCTGCGAACGGTGCATACGATCCCACACAAACAGGAACGTATCGCGATTTGCATTGCGCAATCCGTTACAGTACACGACACTCTTCAGATTAGGATCTATGTCTTCGGTTTTATTTGAAACGACTTCCGCTAGTTGTGAGTTGGTCTGCGTTAGACATTCTTCCGAACCGACTTGACAAGCCCAGTTGATGAGAATGTTTCGTGTTAGCTTCGCAAAGTGAGAATCGTCGGGCTTGTTTGCCAGACCGAACTTGTCGAATGATGGCTTGACCAGCTCCCAGACGTATTGTTTGAATAATGCGTACTTGCTAGAACCTGCCAGCATTCGGTTAAGATAAGCCAATCCATTGTTCAACGATGCCCATGGGACGTATTCCTGTTCAACGGTGAGATATTGGACCAATCGAAGCGCAACATCATACTGAAGATGACCAGATCGTGCCAAATTGAGTGAGTCATCAATCAACTGAGCACGATTAAGATGATGAATCGAATTGTGGTCGCCATGATGGAGCTCGTGGATTATCAACTCCCATAAATTATCATCGTAGTTGACTCGGTAGTAGCCGGTTTGTTGTTTGTTGAAGATTACCCAATCGTCATTATCCCAGTTGAGTGACGGTGAAGGACGCAATTCAGCTGTCTCACCGATCAACCAATCAAGAGGAAGAGTGGACGAGAAATCAGAAGCTTGTAAGGTAGCCAAGTTGTACGGTAGATACCAGGTGGCCTTGACGGCGTCATCCGAAGGTTTTAGCAGGTATCGTTCTTGGCGTAGCTTTATAACATTATCTGCGCCACGACTCACATGCAGCAAGGGATATCCTTTCTGGTCAGCCCACGAGCTGATGATGTCGATGACTTTCACATCTGAGGGAATGGCATCGTGTTCCTCAACGGATCTCTGTAGGCCAGCAGCCAAATCGTCTGGGGATGCTGCTTGGAATTGTTTTGCATCCAAATAGTACTTGAGTCCGGCGCGGAAAACTGAGTCACCAAAAGCGTGTTGCAATTGTCGCAAAACAGAACCAGCTGCCAAACGAGATTGGAGATTGTGTTATAAATACCTACCCTCATTTCGATAATATGACCATTATGTACTTACATTTATCATAGGCGATATCATCAAACAATGCCGAGATAGCGGACGGTGTTTCGACATAGCTGTTCATGGGACGGGTTGTTTCCAGTGCATCTGATTGGAAAGCGGTTTGGACGGCTTCGACTGTGACCATTTCTTGAATGCGCAACTCGGGATACGCTTTGTCTGCAGCTATGAACTGCAGCAGGGTTGCAAATCCTTCATTTAACCAAACATAGTTCCACCATGTCGGAGATACCAGATTACCGAAAAACTGGTGAGCGTATTCATGAGCAATGATAAGGGCAGTACGCTTCAATTGACCCATAGGTGATTTGGTGGAGTTGTAGATGAGTGCCTCCTCACGATAGGTTACTAGACCCCAGTTTTCCATCGCACCGGCTGCAAAATCGGGGATTCCAATTTGATCAAGCTTCGGAAAGCTGTAGTTCACCTGGACGTAGTCTTCTAAGGCATGAATCACTTTGACGCCAGCTTCCAAAGCAAAATCAAGGTCCCCGTTGTGAATCGAGGCAGGATTGGCATAAACCGACTGGTTGTTCTGAGCATCAGATACAAAGTCAAAATCGGAAACGACAAATGCCAACAGATAAGTCTGCATTGACAGCGTGTCTTCAAACGTTGTAGTTGTGTAGTTCTGGTTCCTGTGAAGTATGAATTAAAGGGTTATCTGAGACATCGTGCACTCTTGAGAAATTGCTCTTACAAATCCACTTGACTTTTGATGGGCATGTTTGCGATAGCATGATAAGTGTTACCATGCATCAACTTCAAACCGATCGGAGCTCGAGTCCCAGGTTCATCGTAACATGGAAACGCGTGTCTCGCATCTGTTGACTCAAACTGCGTAGTTGCAATCCACCGTGTTGCTCCGCTGGCATCGGTGTAGGATGAACGGTAGAACCCACCATTATCACTACGAAGTACTCCATGGTATTGAATCTCCAGTACGTAGTTTCCGACCTTCAAGGCCGATGGAGCATGAACGATCAGGAATTCGTATGTTTCGTCCGTGGAGAAACTCGAATCATCATTAACTATCACGACATTATTGCCCGTCGAGCTTACTTCGGTAAGCTTTACGTGCGTCACCGTGATTTGGCGGTGATGAAGTGTAATATTTTGTACGTTCTGCTCTAGGACACGTAGAGAGATACTGACTTTTCCTTCAAAGTCAAACTGGTTTTTACTTCCGTGATCGTGAACGTGCGTTGTGAGCTCAATATCGTATCGAAGTGGGCTTGTGGTGTTCGGTAGACGATATCCGGAGACGGTTTCCTGCCTGGCGGTTGCAGGGAGGTTTCTATTTAGCAAAGGCACACCAGACCAGACGGCTGATGATAGGCCCAGCACCAGGATCGCCGTTTTCCACATCCTAACGGGTTGGAAGCTACAGGTGAACTGAATTCTTCCACCACAGGAAACGGCAAAGTTAGATCATGATGAATCTTCTCAACACATCAATTATTAATTATTATCTTATCTTATCGCGAGCCGGTAGCAGCGATGCGCTCTCGATGTGGGTTTTGTCCATGCGAAGAAATGTCATCCTTTTCAGCGAAAGTAGGGTTTATTTTGAGAGTTCAAGATTCAGCGCACTTGGAAAGAAGGATTAGTCTGGACTTACCAGAAGAAATGCCATCATAATTGGATCAATGCCATCAACATTCCATACGACAGGCATGACGACTACGAAGGTATTTAGTCAGCCCTCCTGGACCGATCAATCAAAATTCATTGGCATACAATGGTATATTTAGGGATTATTGTCATTGAGGCGATATTGACTTATCGTAAGCTAGAATACTATCGGGCTTTGACATTGGCTGGCAATTTTTCGGTCAATTTGGATGTTTGATAAGACAGTTATAGACGTAGGGATTTTATTGATAAGGCTATCAGTATAGGCAACTGGTGTACATAGTATTTAGTGGCCCGCGTGCAATAATTACGTTCATTGAGAATTTACTTAGCTTACCATTCAGGCTAGCGGCCTCCCTTATGTGTTGTTTACATATGTGCGGATTTGCTAGCGCTAGTGTACTAGCACTGTGCAAAAAAAGAAGCCAGAATAATGTAACCAGGGCATCAGTGTTTACCAGCATAAGATTTCAGGAGCAACTGAAATTCGTGCTAGTTGGCTAGCAAATCCGCACAAGTCTAAATACCCCATTAGACCAGTCGGTAAAGGGGCAGATGGTATAACAATGATTTTGCATTTTTCCTACTGTGGAAGGCTTCCACTGGAAGCATTCTATGAATTCTGTGCTTTTCTGAATTGTATTATCTAAGTTATCTGTAATTCGCCTTCGGGATTCACCTATTCTCATCATCATATTCCAGAATTCTCTTGATCTTAATTTCAATGTTCGCTCTCTCGCTCTCTCAAGAAGCAGAGCACGAGAGAGAGAGAGAGAGAGACTCCATGAATTTTATTTTGGATTCTTTGGATCACATTTTGAGACTTAGGCACGGTACACAAATTAAGTAACACAAAAATCTGGATTTTGAACACCTATGTAACAATAATAATGCTTGAAAAGACTCGCCCTCACAAATTACGTAACGCTAACTCAAGCGCCTCTCCCCTCCTTTTTCAAGATGGAATTAAAAATCTCAATTAGCAGTTTGAAAAGAATTTATTATGTTATACGGTAAATGTCGGCTTCGACACTCATTGACTGTTTTCGGCAACTAAATTTTAAACAATAATTTCACTGTAATTTCTTATCAAAACACTTCGCTGAATGTGTTCACACGATTCCTTAGTCTTTCAGCCTTCTGATTGTATTTTTACTACAAAGCAATCCTGTTATGCCAAATTTGTCTTTAAAAGTAATATAGGCACTTTATCACAATGTGGCTGATTTCGAGTTGTCGACAATAGAACAGCTCGTTAACACGCAATTCAAATGGAAAGGTTGCCGAAGAAAAAGAGGCTGCCGAAAATAGTCCCACTCACCTGAGAAGTTTGGAGCGTTTTTTACAATTCTGTCGATTGGGATGGATAGAAAAGCAAGCAGCAGATCAACGTAAACAAACAAACACGTCATTGCGCGATGGTTCACTTTTTATGATTTCGTGGGCGAGCTAATCTGCCGCTATTCGCATAACAGTCCCATGTCGATTTTTATCGATTTTGTTTTTTTCGCGTGAGTTGAAGAAGAACTGATAAAATAGTAGACTTTGTTCCTGAAATAAACAAAAACAAACCCCACTTGTTTTGTCCCATGTTGAAAATATTCGCATAACAGTCACACTTATGTCCGCTCGATATGCTGTGAAAAAATAAGTTGGAATAAAGGCTTTTTTCATCAAATTATCCTATCTTATCACAGTTAGAGACCTCGAACTCGTGTCGTTACGTATTTTGATTTGTTTCTTTGGATGTACAAACGAAATGGATAGTGCGGGAGGTTACATACTAGGTGACAATTGTCACCTCACCGGTGACTCAGAGACAAGACTCGAAAAATAAGTCTGAGTGTGATGCTATTTTTAGAAAGTGGAAATTAATACAAATAGCATTTAAAAAAAGCATGTTAAACTTAAATTTGATTTTATTTCGAAGAATTTCTGTATGTGATTCAAAGTTAACAACAGCGTTCAGTTATGTTCCCTTCCGTTCAGGGAGATCAATCCAAAATTGCTTTTGGTCATCTTTAATGACGGGCAAAATTGCATTCAGCAGCGCCTGCTTGCGATCAGTACATATGCCGACCGGATCAGTTCGACGTGTAAGGATGCTTTCAATAACAAAATCACTATCAGTGACCGTCTTGAGCTGTTTCTTGGAAAGGGTGCAGCAAGTTCTCATTTCTTCGCTATCATCCACTGAGCTGCTGTAGTTCATCTCGTAACTGCCTTTCTTTAGAATGATTTTCCTTATGCTCTCTATATACGGGCGTGGCTTACAGTGATTCAATGTGTACTGAGAAACTGTCAACTTCATCTCGAAGAAATCGTTAGCAAGAACATTCTTCTTCGCTTTCTGGACCACATCGCTAAACTCTGGGAACGTTGATGTTGGTGGCCCGTGACGCATGGCTTTCTCGACAGCCGCGTGAAAACTGTCGGCTGCCATGAACGTATGGCCAGACTCGAAAAACTTGAGCAGAACTTCCTTCACTTTAGTTTCCTTCGTATTGAGCAAGAGAATTAAATAAAGGAATAAATTCCAATTCTTGTTCTGGCTGGAGCAGTTGTCCAACTAGAACGTAACCTTTTCCATTCCGTTACACCACATTATAACTTTGTTAAAACAGCTCGTTATGTCACCCGCCGACCTCCCAGAGGTAGACTCGTCCCAGACACACGGAATAACCGGAAATTCCTTGGCATAGCTACCGACTGGTGCGAATGTTTCATTAAAAGCCAGCACACGCTGAGTGAATACAATCGACTTCAAACCTTCCAGACGAGGAAGTTGGATGACCTGTGATAAGAAAACATGTTAATGTTAAAAGATTAAAAATTTGTATAATTTTCTTTATAAAAAATCACCTTTTGGAGGTCCACAGCAAATACGATTTCTTTAGGCCGGATTTCGTCTCCATCACCTCGATAAACTGATCGTGAAAGTGTTGCCAACCGTAAATGTTCAACATGCGACTTACAAGCAGAACATACAGTGAGGAAACGATCTTCTTCTGCGTGTCCATGTGAACTCTGATGTAATGCCGCAGTAACACAAACCTCACATTGGTCGTGACCGAGTTTTACGAGTGAAATGTTCATTCGCGACATTACTTTAGAATAAAACGAGTAGTTAACTTTTAAGGCAGGGTTTACTGAATCTTGGTAGCTCTGATGCATCGAAACCTGTGTTAGGTCAGATGGAAGGTAGTAACGATTCGGTGCGTGTGCTCGTCGGTAGTGTGACACAGTCGGGTTGTAAGAAAGGATGTGCGATTTCACAGCTTCCCGTTTGGCTTGACATCTTTCATATTTCCCACGCTTAGTAGGTTTCGGATTCCCCTCGTAATCGCTGTCGACACATCGATATATAATGTTTCTGAAATTAAAAAAATTAATTAATATGTATCATTTAAACAGGCCAATACAATACTATTTACCCGCAGTTGTCTCCATAGCCAATAGTATTCAAAAAGAATTTTCGACAAACACGCACATCAGCTCCATTCATCAAACGGAAGGAGAAAATATAGGCGGATCTTTTTTAGGATCGTTCGCTGTGGTTCGGTTCTTGTGTCGGAGTGGCACTGGGCTTCGGTGTACATTTTCCCTGATGTAAAGGGTTTGCTTGGTTTTATCCAGCTTCCAGAACTGGTCATGAACATTGAGCCGCTCGTCCTTCGATACAATGTGGTCACAGTTTCTCCGGCATCCATATTTTGCGATAAGCAATTTGTGAGCCAGGCGGCGATTTTGCGCATTACTTGCATTCTGTATTTCTTTTTTGGTTCGTTTCCGCTTTCTGTTCTCAACTTCAAAAAAACTTCCGTCGGAATCCTCCAACTCTTCCTCTTCGCTGTTTGAAGTATGCCCTGTGTTCTCCATAGTGTATTTATCGAGTTTTTGAATTCCGTCTGCGCCATATTTGTCCAAAAGAAACGTTTTAAATGATGAAGGACTACCAGCTGGTTCAACGTGGCGACGCGTGACAATTTCAGACACCTGTTCAACATTTTTACTAAAACAAGATTTTTGGTATATTTTCGAATTTATTCACAACGTTTTGGCCTATCTATACAAGAGTGGAATTCTCCTATTAATTTTGCCCGAAAATGCGTCAATGATGTCATCGTAAAATAATGGTCTTTTCATGATTTCATTCAGCAACTGTCCCTCTACAGCCATCATCATCAATCCAAACAGTCGCGTTTCACCCATTGTCGTTCTCAAATAATTTTTCAGACGCCGTAGAACTGAAAATGACCTCTCGACGGATGCTGTTGTGTTTGGCAACGTTAGTATTAATTTGGCAAGCCTTAGAGTTTCCGAAAAAGTTTGGTGGAGGTTTTTCTCGATAATGATTGCAACGATGTCTTTGATTTTTTTACCTCTGAACTCCTGGCGTGAGTACAACACATTTAGCTCGTTGCTTAGTTTAGCTTCATCGAACTTAGTATCAAATTTAATTAAAATTTTCAACAATTCAGTCGGGAAAGCAACGTTACAGCTTTCAAACTTATCGTGGTTTAATAGACCGATGAATTGGTAGTCATCTAGTTCTTTAAACCGTTTTGTCATTTCGTCGAGAATTTTATCAATAACGGAGTCATGAAGCTGCCGATGATTGATCTTGCTTCCTTTTGCGCTTGCGCCAGACATTTCAATAGCCGCACTGAGTAGATTATCAAAATGAATATATCTCTTTAATTCCTCTATGGAAGTATAGCACACTTTAACGTTCCGTACACATTCTACTACGTCTAATTCTTTTGCTTGCAGGATTTGGTAA